GCGAATGGTGATCCCATATCAGTGGACTCTGATGTTGCACCAGTCAATTATTTTTTGCACAGTTTATTTTCCCAAGTGGATATTTCTCTCAACGACACACTAATCACCGCTAGTGAGAACACCTATCCGTATCGCGCCTATCTGGAGGCTACGTTAAATTACGGGGAAGATGCCAAGAATGGGTCTCTATCAGCTGCTCTATATGCGATGGACACACCGTGTTATTTCGAGGAGTTCAAAGATGATAATAATGATGGGTATAGGATTCGCCGCACCACCGCTGCTGAAAGTCATGAGATCGATATGATGGGACGTATACACTCTGACATTTTCACCCAAGATCGCTATATGCTGAATGGGGTTGACATTAAAATTAAACTTACACCCGCAAAAGACAGTTTCACTCTCTTGACAGCAGACCAAAACAAGGGGTATAAAGCGATGATAACGCACGCAACATTGGTGGTTAGAAAGGCCAGACTTAACCCGGCGATTTCTATCGCGCATGAAAAGGCTTTAACGAGAATGAATGAAAAATATCCTTTTAAACGCGTTGTTATAAAGACCTTTGCTATACCGAAAGGAATGTTAAGTCACAATCAAGACAATTTGTATATGAGTCAAACACCCACCCGATTAGTCCTCGGACTAGTCGCCTCTACAGCCTTTAATGGGAGTTACACGAAAAACCCCTTCAATTTTCAACATTTTCACTTGACGTATTTAAATGTAAGCGTTGATGGACGATCGTTATCGGGGAAACCACTGGTCATGGACTTTGATAGGAATCAAGCCATTAGAGCATTTTTCAATAGTAACCTCTCTCTGGGTATGGTTGGAAAAGATGCTGGGAATGGAATAGACTATAAGCACTTTAAGAACGGCTATACCTTGTTTGCTTTTGATTTAAGCCCCAGTCTTTTGGATGGTGAACAATTTGAATTGGCTAAATCTGGACCTGTTTCTATTGAACTTAAATTTTCACAAGTTACAACTGAGCCGATTCAAGTTATTGCGTATAATGAACTAGATTCGGTGTTAGAAATTTCAAAAACAAGACAAGTGTTGACAGATTACACCGCCTAAAGCGTCCTATAAACGAAAATGAACACAAGAGAACTACAAAGTATACTGGCCGCAGACTTATTTGTACAACGCACAAATCTCTTTGGTGTTGTAGCGTGCGATCAACTACCTACTCGTATCGATAGAACGAAGCAAGCGGCGTTCATTATAAATTTAGATTCGTCCAAGGATGAAGGCAGCCACTGGGTTGGTCTTTTTTTTCAATGGTCTATCGCAATTTACTTATTTCGATAGTTTTGGATTACCACCGCGTGAACCCGCCATTTTGACTTTTATAAAAAATAATTCAAACAGACCATTCGTTTACAATTCAAGAGTTTTGCAAGACATTGTAACCAACAGCTGTGGATTATACGCAGTTTATTTTGTTTTGAAGAAAGTTCGGGGAGCTAGCCTAAAACTTATTCTTCACCCTTTTTCACCGTCACCGGCTCGACAATATATTAACGATCGACTTATATCACGTTTAACACTTGCACTTATTGGGACTACTTATAAACGTTTATTTCCGCGCTTTCAAGATGTCTAGTGAAGATTGGATACTTGTGGCCAGGAGTAGTAATAAAGTGACGGAAATACGAACGACGAATGACAGTGGTTATAAAGTAGCTATCGTTAGTCAATTCATGAACAAAAACACTTTAAATCTTAGAGATCTTATGGATGGTACAGATCTTAAATTTCCTAATAATTCTGGAATTAATCTCTCTCGTGTAGCCTTTGAACGTTTACTCGCCCTGAGATATGATATTTTAAAAGCGTTTGATGACTTGGAGAAAGTTGAAATAAATTCATAAAATATAAGAAGTCTTTTGTTGTGATATAAGTTGTGTGTAAGTTGTGTGTGTGTGTGTGTTTGTGTGTAAATAAACGCCAGCCATAAACACAACAACCAAGTAGAAACCAGGAAGGGGGCAATAACCGCCCCGGCTGTTGGCACGTGTTGTATCTCTTTATATTAAGACGAGTAGAATTCGACATCCACCAGGCCTATTCAACAAAGATTTTATACGGTCAACATGTTTAAACATGACTTTAAAAAAATCGATAGTAAAGGCGCGTGAGTTGGATTAGACAATGGGGTACAGCACCTGCCTTTGAGTATGACGCAAGTAGCGGCACACAAAAGGACATGCTCACACAGACTTCAGACAAAGGGAGAATGAGATTGCAACACACAAAAGGGAAGGGGTACCACCTGCTACCACCTCCCCCACCCGCGTCACCCCCACCCACACCCTCACTGGAGGGTGGTGAAATACTATTTTACTATATACTGTTAAAGCCGGACTGTCGTCCAGGTCAATAAAAACAACCAATAACTGGTCAAGCGGTCAACAACCGATAAACTGATCATCTGGTCAACTACTGGTCAGTTGGTCAACTGGTCAACAAATGTATAACACCATTAATAAAACAATAGCTCAATTGGTCAACTACTAGGTAACCTAACCCTCAATACAAACAAATCAATAGGGGAATCCACCTCCACCTCCACCTCTGACCAACCCGTGGTCAATTGGTCAACATACCGATCAAAACAATAACCTACTAGTCAAAATAATCAACAGTTGGTTAATGAACAATCAACAACGGGCTAAAAAATCAATAGTTGGTCAAAAAAACAGGGACAAAAAATCAACAGGTGGTCGAAAATCAATCAATAACGGTCAAAATATGCAACAGGTGGGCAAAAATCAATCAATAACGGTCAAAATATGCAACAATTGTCCCACCTCCACCTCCACCTCCGCCTCCACCTACTTCCACCTCCACCTCCACCTCCACCTCCACCTCCACCGCACCTCCACCTCCACCTTTTGCGACCCAAAGGGGACCTACTATACTACTATTATTTCTTTTTAAATTACCTCCCACCCCTGATATAATTATTAAACATTTAAATTAATTATCATATGTTACCCTTCTGTTATTAAAATGTATCCATTTTTTAAAATATCAATCGAATCGAAAATATTATTTGATGTTGAATTGTTTAATATGTTTTATGGGTCATCCACAAATGACGTCACGCTTTTTTAGACGTATTTTACCTCCCCTCACCTCCCCTCAGTCACACAGTCACACATCGTCAGAAAAGGCCAGACCCCCCCCCCCCTAAAATGACGTAACATCTCAGCCTACGACCCCCCCCCCCCCTCAAAAATTGCATTTGAATTTTTCTTAAAACATCGATATTTTTCCTAAATCTTGTCTGAACTCAGTCAACATAGAGTATTTGAATCAATTCCTATTACAATTTATTAAAACAGTTTTCTAAAACGCGAAATAATGGCTTAAATACGTTTTCTAACTTTGTTTTTTTATGATGCAAGTGTGACTTCACACCATCTGAAACCCCCCCCCCCCCTCCGCCTTCGAGTGTGACGTCATTTATGGACGACCCCTTGGCAATGTGCGTGTTTTATTCACGTTTTGTAAAAGAGTAAAAACTGTGCCAACTATAATAAAAATTTAAGTTGTAATATAAATAAACCCTACTCCAATACTTATATTTAGACAACTCGATGCAAGTTAAATGCACGGCATGTGTTGATGGTTACTTTTATGGTTCCAAAATCTATAGCGATGACTGCCTGACGGACGGGAAGGATTCAGAGGCGTAGCGACTCTTCCTGGCGCCTGGGGACAAACTTTAAACTTGCACCCCCTCAAACTTTCGATTTGCACCCCTCCCTCAAACTTTTGATTACTTTTTCCAACCCATTTTGGCGCCCATAAGATCGGCGCCCGGGGACATATGTCCCCCTCTGCCCCCCCCCCCCAGAGGCGTAGCTAGGGGAGGGCGGGGAGGGCGGCCGCCCCGGGCGCCGACCTCAGGGGGGCGCCAAAAGGGGTAGAACATTTTTTTACAAGCTCATTTTAAGCTGCAGTTTAGAATTATAAACAGTCAAAGTAAAGAAATTTAACCGTTGAGAGCGTTTGCATACTGATTTAACTGTTTTCTACCTTGATTGTGTAACTGTAAAAGGTATATCCTTAAGAAACAGTGACCGGAAAAACTGCTTTCCAGCTTTCCTAGATGGGGGGGGGGGCGCTTTTTCGAAGACTAAAATCGGAAAAATTAAGGAATAAATAACCCATATCACTCAGAAAAGAACCCATGGAACTAAAACGTATTTTACGATTGTGTAACATAAAAACACAAATAATTGACATTTAACATCCACTGTACCATTTTTGTCCAAGATGGTGGGGAGAGGGGGGGGGGGGGGGGCGCTTTTTCACCAACAAAAATCGCAGGATTTGTATTGGATCGGTTACTAGATAACTCTTTTAACACTTAGAAAATAAATGTGTTTCCTCTTGCTTGTTTCATTATACAATCAACCAGTCAACGAAATACACATATCGTATTCCAATGTGAACAATAATTTGCTATTGTATGTCAATTGTATGACCTTAATCTAACAAACTTATAATCCAAATATATACTATATCATAACAGAGACTGTTCCAAAGATAAAACGTAAAAAGTCTGTCCTATACGATTTAGCACCGCTACAATTTTTTTCTGACATTACTAATCATCATCTTTAAAGGATAATGCATCTCAGGGGGAATTTAATTGGTGTCGAGTAAAGATTTAGGGAACGAAAATCAGCGTAATTGTTAATTTTTTTCAAGACTGTCGCACACGCATATATATATATAATATATATATATATATATATATATATATATATATATATATATATATATATATATATATATATATATATATATATATATATGGGGGGGAGCGCCAAACTGAATGTTCGCCCCGGGCGCCGGGAGGGGTCGCTACGCCTCTGCCCCCCCCCCCATCGCTACGCCTCTGGAAGGACTGACACACTACTTCCTGATTTTGTAATCTTACGCGAAATATAGGCTTAATTAAAAAACAAAGAAACTTCAAATGTATTCTTTATTTTAGATAAATGTGAAAACAAATTCATATATAATTTTATAAAAAACAAAAGTTAACATTTTAAGGGGCAATAATATTAAAAAGGAGTATATTTTTTTACTGTGGTAACAATTTTTGGTAACTCGAGCTGTGACAGTAGTTCTTTTGGATTGTTGGAAGAGACAAAAGAAAAACTGCATATAACATTAAAACATAAATTGTACATTTTCTCACATCCCGCTATCCCATATAATACTCTCATAGTAGATCGCTCCAACATTTTTATGTCCATGTTTTCCTTCTGTACAAACTACAACCATTTTGGTACAGCAAAAAAGTTATCATTCTTTTTACTTTCTGGTATATTCGAAGTATAGAGAAAGTCTTGTAATCGTGCAAAAAAAAAAAAAATAATCAAGATTTGTGCAAATCTCGACGTTTTACACCTCACTGATACGGAAAAAACATAATTTTGCAATCTTGTCCGTATGTCTGTCTGTGTGTCCGTGTGTAAACACGATAACTTGAGTACCGTTACAGCTAGGTTGATGAAATTTCATATATAAGTATTTTATCAAAATCGTAGATACGTATCAACTTTTGAGCGATTTCCGATAACCGGAAGTGGTACTTTTTCTACTTAGAATTTTTCAAAAGCCTATAACTTGAGTACTATTTCAGATAGATAAATGAAATTTGATATGTAAGTAAAAGATCTAATTCTCTACCTTTTGTCAAATTTTGAGTAATTTCCGTTGACCGGAAGTACTTATTTACGCTATTTATAAAGTACTAATAATATTGCGCACTATTATGTACATCTTTATTTAGCGTTCACTTGGTGTGCAATTCTTTTTTCTACGAGATTATATTCTATTTTAAAAAGTTTGAGTATTTAAAATGGATTAAAAATCATGTCTAGAAGTCTATATCCCAGACACACACACAGACAGTAATTTTTAAATTGTGAGAATCACATAGTTGTAGTTAAAAAAAATGCTTTTTACAAGCTTTAATTCGTCTATCTGTCGTGCTTTTGTCGTGTTTCGTCATGGATCGAAAGAGCACTTCTAAGAGACCAAGTAGTTTCAAAAATGGCACGTGGGTCAAGACCCGATGACAATGCAGTCTGATATCAAATTTGAGTTAGCTGGATGCTTAATAAATTTTTAAAGAATTAATTAAAACTCCTAAATATTTACCGCGCTAATATAAGCAAATTTTTTTTATTTAACGGGGAATTGTTTTTTAGCCATTCAACTCTTTGGTATTAAATATTGTAACGTACTGAGAAAAAATGCATTAAAACGCTTTAATAACAAGCTTTTATAAATGGTTTTCTTTAAATATATAATAATGCACCACTATTTAAATAACTATTTAAAAAAGCGTGAGTCACTACACTGTATATTAAATACCTTTACTAAAATTTAAGAAGCGACTCTCAATTTTCTGTTGTGTAGTTGTTTTTTTTTAATAGTAGTGCATTATTATATATTTAAACAAAATGCTTTTTTTTCTTCTTTTTAGTACATTGCTATATAAAATCTTGTTATTTTAATGTTTTTTATGAATTTATAAAAATATATATCTCCCATGATTGGAAAAAGTTGCAAATTCAGTGTATACTGAGTTAAAGGGGAAAATGTGTAAGCCAATGGTACCAACCTATTCATACACTTATTCTATATGTTGAGAAAAGTATTATCAAAGTCAGTTTTATATAGCAATACTCTTTACCACCCATGTCAACGTAAGTATAACAAACCAAATGTCTTTATTATTTAATTTCTATTGTTGTGAAATGTCATTGCTGCCAATGTGAAAAAAGGCCTATGTGCCTGATGTTATCATGACAACTATTGTTGTGGGGTGGTGTGGTCGTTTGGTAGTTCAGGACTATAGGACTTCCCTGAGTCCATCCAGCTCTGATGGGTACCTGACTTACATTGGGGAAAGTAAGGGTGGCTGGTGATCGTGCTGGCCTCACCATTCCTTCATATGAACAGGTCAAGAAACATGAAATCTAGTTCATCAAGAAGAATATCTACTTTTTTAAAAAAAAATTGTCAAGTGAGAAATTGGGGATCTTCCCAAAAATACCCAACAAAGAATGACAATCGAAACGTTAAACTACTGCTCCCCTGTTTTATATTATAGTATATAATCCATAATTGCAATGTGTCCTCATAATGATATTAACAAGACAAAAAAATCAATTTCTCAAAGCTCATAGCCATTTTTGTATCTGCAACATAAGAGTTATTTACAACATACACTTAACTGTTTAAGCATAAAGACATCTGGGTTTATGAAACTTTAACAGTGAGAAACCTACGTTTACAAAATGAAAAGAGATTATTTCCCTTTGGTGTACACATTTTTCAAGTTCTAGTTTGGGATTATTTCCCCTTATTACAATTTTAAAGAGAACACCTAAAAGGGGAACCAGGTGGAATGTTACATATTACAGGGATCAGATCAACAATCATTATTGAAATTCATTAAAATTGCTCAATGGCCTGGGATACAAAAATATCTTTGTTAACATCTTAGTGATTTTTAAACATTAGAATCATAAACAATAGAAGACAACAATTTTGCTTTGCATATTTAAGTCAGTTAAACAAATCAATTTTAAAATAATCCATTATTTACGTTTCAATTTTCTTTTGGTATTTAAATGAAAATAATTTAAGATCTTTCATTTTTGTTATATAAAAAGATGGAATGAATAATACAACATTCTTCACATGCAAGAAATCAAGTTTGTATTTGGTGGAGAAGTATTCACCAATCTTTGAAAGCAAGATACATCAATACCAGGCAAGATTGCAGGTAAGTGTTGAGCTGGGGCAGAAAACCTTTTTAAAAAAAATCAGCTCAATTCATTTATTTAACAAGATATAAAACAACATTAGAAATATGTAAATATGGCACAGTTTTTAAAAAAATTACGATTATTTAAATCTTCATACAAAGAAGGTTAAGAGTTGCCCATATTTCATACATTAATGTGAATGTATCTTTTTAAAAAAACATTTAAAATATCTACAATTTGATATATTAATTTAAATATAAACAAGCAAGTAAGTTTTGAGAACTAAGGGTTCTTATACAAGTAATAGACAATGTTTAGTCTTCTTCCTTTGTCAGGCAGCTCAGATTTCTCTATTAAAAATAACAGAGTGAATGTTATAAATAATTTTTTCTATCACATTGATGGGGATTTATGAGCACACAACAGTTGCCAATAGTTTTCACATCATTTTTCCCTTACACCAGAACTTAATGAACACATACAGCAATTTTATTTCAAAAATACAAGTATCAACAACATATTCAGAAACAAAAAATGTAGGGTGCTAAAATCTTTAGAAACTATATTATTTCTAGATTTAATTAGCAAACTTGCCAATCTTGCATTGTTATGAAGCTAGCACCATTAGCTTTCTAAAGATAGTTTTATTTGGTTGTTTTAGGATTTGATGATTGTGTCTTGCTCACATTCATAAATAATAAAATTCTCCACTTCAATAGCATCACTCAATTGCACTAAGCTTATTGGTTACACAGTTACAGATAATTTTTTAATTATTAATTAGTTTGGGAAATATTTATATTAAAAAATCATAATTAAAATTTTTTTGTCAAAATTAAACATTTTCTCTGCAAAAGTAAAATCTAAACATCTAAAAACATGAAAATACATAATTCATGAATTAAATAATTGTCACATTTGGTAATTAACATTTGCTTAAAATTAAACTTTTTTGTTGTGATTTATCTTAAGTTTTCACAAGAGGAAATTCATAAACTTTTAAATTGTCAAATATACATGTATTATAAATCCCATTAAATTAAATTAAATTATAATTTATTTTCAACCCAAATGGTTCAAAGCAAAATAAATCAGACAACTGTACACATTATCTTAATGTATTATTTATTATAACAAGCCCAATTAAAATCAACATAAATTAACAGTAAAGCTATTAAAAAATTGATCATTTACCGATTCAATTACATTTTTTAAAATGTAGGTATACCATTCTTCGTAACATTAACAATCAGCTGGAACAATTTTTCTAATTGGAATGAGCTTGAAGAAGGTAGGCCTACTTCTGAAATATTTTTTTCATCAATACAAAAATCAACTTGCATTTTGAAAAAAGTTCAATTACAATTTTAATACTATTCATATTGATAAATTTTACTTTTCATTTTTTTTTTAAATTTTTTTTTCATTGTCAACAGTCAAAATGAATTAAACAAAAGCTTAGTTACATTTAGTTACATAAAGTTAAAAATAAAATTGTTTAATACATTTCCTAAAATATTTTTCATCTTTTTTAAAAAAAATCCACTGCTTTGGAAAAAAGCTTTATTTTAGATTACCTTTTATTTTTTACTGATTAATTAAAATATAGAATGTAGACTTTTCATTGTTAACACAAAACATCATCATGGATTAAATTAAAGCTCAGTAATATTTTTTCTAAATATAATTCAAAGAACTTTACATTACAACAATATTTGTTCCTCTATTTAACAATTTTTTTTTAAAAAAAAGCTCAATTTTAGCACCCATTTATTGGTACTGATTTAGTTAGTTATACAATAAATAAAATGAAATAAAAGCTTGATTACTATGAAGAAGTGGAAGAACTCTTTTTTGTTAAAATTCCTAAAATATTTTTCTTCCCAGATCCTGAGGATGAAATCCCATTATGACTCTCCTCTCCAATGGTACTATACGGGTTAGAAGAGTCACTGCCAATACTGTCTGTGTCACTTAATGATAATTTATTATAGGGCTTATACTGGTATTGAGCTGAAAAATAAAAATTAATTTTTATTTCAATTTTCATCCACTCCATTTATAATTTTTTGGCAAAAAAATATTGAGAATTTTTTAAAGAATATATATTTAAATTTAATTATTAATTGAATGTTAGAGAAGTTTTAAAAAATACTTCTGATTTATTTTAGAAGTAAAAATATCCTTATACAAAATATGAAACAGGGTTGCAACTCTATTGAAAAATGTATTTAAAAAATGTTTGGTTCAGTTAAAGGATTAAATTAAAAAAAAAAAACTATAGTTAAAAAATAAACTGTAGTATCAAAATGAATTAAAATTATTTTTGTGAATATCTGGAATGTCCACAAATGGTGTACTGCATACTATCATTAATTTAATATTGATTATGTAAATTTAATTCAACGTGATTTTTTAAAAAGTAGAGTTTGTGAAACTTACCAGGGTGTGTCTCTCCAGTCCCATCTTTCACAATAAAAGCCTGGATGTCTGAAACAATATCACACTTCTCCAGAATATCTCTTACTTCTTCACACGACTGGAAGGGAAACAATCGAATAGGTGACTCGTATGTGTTGGGGATTGTACAGTCAGTTCAAATAGGTGACTCGTATTTGTTGGGGATTGTATAGTCAGTTCAAATAGGTGACTCGTATGTGTTGGGGATTGTACAGTCAGTTCAAATAGGTGACTCGCATTTGTTGGGGATTGTACAGTCAGTTCAAATAGGTGACTCGTATGTGTTGGGGATTGTACAGTCAGTTCAAATAGGTGACTCGTATGTGTTGGGGATTGTACAGTCAGTTCAAATAGGTGACTCGTATGTGTCGGGGATTGTACAGTCAGTTCAAATAGGTGACTCGTATTTGTTGGGGATTGTACAGTCAGTTCAAATAGGTGACTCGTATGTGTTGGGGATTGTACAGTCAGTTCAAATAGGTGACTCGTATGTGTTGGGGATTGTACAGTCAGTTCAAATAGGTGACTCGTATTTGTTGGGGATTGTACAGTCAGTTCAAATAGGTGACTCGTATGTGTTGGGGATTGTACAGTCAGTTCAAATAGGTGACTCGTATGTGTTGGGGATTGTACAGTCAGTTCAAATAGGTGACTCGTATTTGTTGGGGATTGTACAGTCAATTCAAATAGATGACTCGTATGTGTTGGGGATTGTACAGTCAGTTCAAATAGGTGACATATTTGTTGGGGATTGTATAGTTAGTTCAAATAGGTGACTCGTATGTGTTGGGGATTGTATAGTCAGTTCAAATAGGTGACACATATTTGTTGGGGATTGTATAGTCAGTTCAAATAGGTGACTCATATTGGGGATTGTGAAAACCTTTTAACATTAATTCTCCTTCATATACAAATGTTAAAGGTTGGAGGTGTTTGTATTGTGTTTTGAATTATTTTATTTGGGTATGAATAAAACTGGTAACAAAATATAAAAATTCCAAATAGATTAGGCATTCTTCCATTTTTCTTGAAAAATGTGAAGTTAAATGTGAATAGTTGATGTACATTTACTGATAATACAAGACTGTTGTTTAAAATCAGAGTTTCTTCCAAGCATCTGAAGCCCCCCCCCCCCCCCCCCCTGAAAATTTTAGGTGCACCCCCGGAGAAAAAAGTCTGGAAGAAACTCTGTTTAAAAGGATAATAATTTTAAAACTCTACTTTAATTTAAAAGAAAATTTTAAAATGTACCATGTCAATCTTTAGTGCAAGTCCTGAATCAATGTTCAATGTCTCCCATATTTCTTCTCGTAAAAATTTTAACCTGTCCTCATCTAACAATTGAATGGTCTGAAATTTTAAAGCAAATTTGTTGATTCACAAATGTTTGTATTTCCTTTCAGTGGCTATTTAAATTACCTCGTCATTTTTTAAAGTTTAAAGTATTAAAAGCAATTGGTGTCTAATTGTTTTTAAAAAACTGTTTGTCGCAAGCTTTACATTTTAAGCAGCAATAGCAGTAAAAAAAATAATTTACTGTATTTCTGAACATGTTATGGGATTGAATGTTTAATGAACATTTTGATGAATCTTTTAATTTTTGTTGTTAGTATGTAGAAGTAATCAGTTCATCATTACTAAAGCTACATTACAATATTGGGTATGAAGATGTTCACATTGAAGTAAAACATTTTTTTACTACAACAATTATAATTTTACTTTAAAAAATGTGACTTATTAGTTTGGCATAAAATTCTTTGAAACATAAATTTTTTTTTTTTGCTTTTACGTTGCTGATAACTTAATGAATAGTTCTAAAAATAAAACAATTAGATATAAGAAGAAGTGGAAGAGAAATAATCTAAAACAATAAACAATGATCTGACAAAGGACTTATATTGAACAGGTTATGTTGATTTACTGATATGACAAAAGGCTTATATAGAATAAATTGTTATTTCACTGACCTGACATGTGGTTTTCATTTCATTTTCCCATTGCACTGTGTAGTCTGCAAGAACCATAACTGCACTTTTGTATGTAGTATCTTTCAAGTAGATAAAATAATGTTTCAATATTATTATAACTGCACTTTTGTATGTAGTATCTATCAAGTAGATAAAATAATGTTTCAATACTATTATAACTGCACTTTTGTATGTAGTATCTATCAATAGATAAAATAATGTTTATATACTATTATAAGTGCACTTTTGTATGTAGTATCCATCAATAGGTAAGATAATGTTTTAATACTATTATAACTGCACTTTTGTATCTAGTATCTATCAAGTAGATAAAATAATATTTCAATACTATTATAACTGCACTTTTGTATGTAGTATTTATCAATTAGATAAAAAAATGTTTCAATACTATGCTTTGGTTTGAGTTTTTCCATAATAGCAACAAATATAAGACAGTAGCCCCGTGTCTTACTTTTAGGTTTAATTGCATCTATTTTTTTTATTTATTCAGATAGGAATGAAGTCTAAATCACATTAACTTTTTCAATTATATTTAACTAAAATTTAAGAAAAGAGAATTAAATAACTGTTTTAAAAAAAATATTTTAAAAATATAAATAAACAATAAACAAACCTGCTTTTTCTGCCTCATCATCACTTTTTGCTGCATTCTTCCGTGCCTAGGAAAATTGTTTTATTGTAGACTTAGTTATAGCCGAAAGTATTTAGATATTCACAATTTATTATTTAATCAGAGTCAGAAAATGATGAGTAACTTAATTACCTTTTCAATATCTTTTTGGGGTGTTGTATTTGCATTCATATCTTTTAACGTAGCTTTTGCTGTGTCCCTCTCTGAACACTTTCTGTTGTATGTTTTCTCAAGCTGATAAGAAAAAGCTCACATTTTTAAATTTTACTTAAAGTAAAGTAAAAAAAATAAACCGGGAGTGATCTCCCCTAAACTTTCTCGAATATTCTTATATAAAACAACAGGGGATGGGAACTTGGGCTATAGACATGATTTTTAATCCATTTTAAATACTTAAAGTTTTAAAAATAGAATAAAATCTCGTAGACAAAAGAATTGCACACCAAGTGAACGCTAAATAAAAAAGTGCATAATAGTGCGCAATATTATTAGTACTTTAAAATTTTACATTAGTTTTTTGAGAAATCGGAAGTAGCGTAAATTACCACTTCTGGTCAACGGAAATTACTCAAAATTTAACAGAAAGTAGAGCAATAGATCCTATACTTATATGTGAAATTTCATTTATCTATCTGAAATAGTACTCAAGTTATAGGCTTTTGAAAAATTCAAAGTAGAAAAAGTACCACTTCCAGTTATCGGAAATTGCTCAAAAGTTGATATGGATCTACGATTTCGATAAAATACTTATATATGAAATTTCATCATTCTAGCTGTAATGGTACTCAAGTTATCGTGTTTACACACGGACAGACACACACACACACAGACACAGACATACGGACAGAATTGCAAAGCCCAGTTTTTCAGACTGGATTACGCATAAAACATCTTGATTTTGATAAATCTGGATTGATAATTTTTGCCCGAATAAAATAACTCCTCTATACTTAGGATGTGATAAAGGACTGAGGTGTAATACGGTGAAAATTGTTAAAATTTCAAGTGATTTTTGTGCACGATTACAATACTTTCTCTATACTTCGTATATACGAGAAAGTAAAAAGTAAAATAAAATTCATCTGTTTCTTGACCAAGGCATATGAAGGGATGGTGTGTTCAGCTCTATGCCCAGAAGCCTTTATTTTCCCTAGCATGAGCCAGGTACCCATCAGAGCTGAGTGGACTCAGGGACGTTCTACAAACTTGAGTTGAAGAGCTGAACTTTTTAAACTTTTTTAGGGCCTAAACCTTTTAAGATTTCAACAGTTACAGCTAGGCTAATACGCTTGGTAAACTTGACACTGAAAACCTACATTTTCAGCAAATTACTTCATTGTTGTATTGACCAAAAGAATAATTTAAAGATAAAAATGGAAAGAACTTGGCTGTTCTTCATATCATTTATACTAACTTATTTAAGTAGTTTAAGTAGGAGTTATGCTTATAAATATTTTTTTTCAAAATGTGCAGTTATAGAAATAACAATACCGACACTTTTTAAAAACATAATTACTCATCAACAACTGACCTGAATGGTTTTATTTAATTGAGTTATTTTTGTGCTTTGAACTTTCTGTAATGATTCTTCTTTCTGTAAAAAAAAAGTAATTGTTTAATTTATTTTAATTTATTTATGTATACCACTATTTAATTAGCATACTGCTTTAACAAGGATGATCAATTGTCTACTAAAAAATTTACCCTTTCAAACATGGCGGCTCATGGGACATAATGGAGTAGAGTTCACCTGTTTTTGTGACCTTTACAAATGAAGGGACAGTGTTGTCAGCACTATGCCCAGCCACCTTCACTTTCCCTAAATGTGAGTTAGGTACACAACAAAGGTGGCTGGATTAGGTGATGTACTACAGACTCAAGCATAGGATCCTAATTATTTCCCATGTATCTATTTTTTTTAAAACCAAGGGACAAAACCTACAGCTATATTTCCAAAAAAGTAGTTAAAAATACAAAGAAATTCAAAAAAATAATAAAATAAAAATGCACATTATTGTTTATTATTATATAATATGAAGTTTTAAAACTTAATATGATTGTTTGTTTTATATTTTTATTTACTATATTTTAAAATTATCATTAGACTCTATTTAATATTATAAAGCTAGCTCAATTAAACATTAAATTTTGTAGATTTGTAAAAGTTTATGATATAATGAATTCTGCAACACATGCCTACACAATGTCTGTGTTTATAAAAAAAAAAATTCTCAATGTTCGTATCCTTTATACCAGGGGTCGGCAACCTGCGGCTCGCGAGCCGCATGCGGCTCTTTTGAAATCAAGATGCGGCTCTCCAGCTCCTTGAACAAATACTAATAATCTTAATAAAAACATAAAATATTTGAAATTAAGAAATGTTAGTGGCTCTTTAAAACCAGGGAAATTTTGAAAATTGTAACTTTTGGCTCTTCCGCTTCAAAAGGTTGCCGACCCCTGCTTTATACAAAAGACAGTAACTAAATTATTTTTAATGTAAACCTAAGTAATAAGCCCATGATAATAGTTCTACCATAAATAATTGGATACCAAATTGCTAAAGTTATCCAAAGAATAACTACACACAACCAGCTTACAGCTTTCACTCAAAGATAATCTAAAAGCTGAATCAGCTTAAAGCTTACAGCTTTCACTCAAAGATAATCTAAAAGCTGAATCAGCTTAAAGCTTACAGCTTTCACTCAAAGGTAATCTAAAAGCTGAATCAGCTTAAAGCTTACAGCTTTCACTCAAAGGTAATCTAAAAGCTGAATCAGCTTAAAGCTTACAGCTTTCCTGCTGATTGTTTGCTCGTCTTTAAATTTCTTGACCAGATCAGCTTTCTGTTGGAACTGGTTGGCCGCGTGTGTGTGATGGTTGGCCCTGGCCTCCAGTTCTTGCTTCAGTTTATTTAGTGTGGCCTCAAGAACACTGGGAAAATAATGTTGATAGTATTTTTTATAATGACGGAGTAGAGTCACATCAGTAATAAAGAAAATTCTCACAAGAAAACCTCGTCATTTGTAACTTTTCAAACTCACCCCACTTCATCCCTTTGTTTGAAACATTTGGACAAGCTTGAAAGGGATTTACTGTAGTCTGCCTCCAGCTTTGATCTGTTAGCAGAAAAAATAAATAAAATCCTATGAACTGGAACATAAAACTTACATGAAAATGTAGTTCAGTGAAACAGAATGTGTATTACTCTCTGAGCATAGCGCTCTTCAATGAAGGAGTTACTATAGTAACCCAACTGAGAGATCATATATTAATTAATTATTACCAGCCCCATTCAGAGGTGTAGCAAGGGGAGGGGGGCACCAAATTGAAAGTTCGTCCCCGGGCGGCTGGAAGGGTCGCTACGTCTCTGGCCCCATTAAGTAATTATGATTAATTAATGAGCTGATAATTCAATGATTTACTGTGATTTACACCTGTATATAGATTTTAACTTTCCTGTGTATCGGTTATTTTTTAAAATTGATTCTCAAGATTATGTAGCTCCTAGTGAAGTCTGGGAAAATTTACCTCTTTTTAAGATAATCCTCTAGCTCAGAGCACATCTTTTTACTCTCTTGATTTCTTTTATGAAGGGCATCGTATCCAGCTGTACTACTTAGGTCGCCTCCCTTTGAGAAGAAACCAGCAACTTAAATATAATACATTGATTACTAAGGACTTTTTAAAATTGGTAGTTGACACTCAGGGGCAGATTAAAGGTTGGGGGGGGGGAGCTGACCAGGGCCCACAGACGTTTAGAGCCTCAAAATATTTTCTTTTATCTCTGAGACAGGGTCAACAGATTATTTTCAGCCAACAACTAACTCCACAACTACCTTAGCTCACCACAACCTTACCCCACTACCACTACCTTAGCTCACCACTACCTTACCCTTTACCCCACACCACTAGCTTACCCCACTACCACTACCTTACCCCCCAACTACCTTGACACATCACTACCTTACCCTTTACCCCACAACAACCATACCCTACTACCACTACCACACCCTACTACCACTACCTTACCCCACCACAACCTTACCCCACAACTACCTTAGCTCACCACTACCTTACCCCACCACAACCTTACCCCACTACCACAAACTTACCCTACAACAACTACATTACCCCACACAACTACCTTACTCAACTACAACAACCTTACCCCACAACTACCTTACAATATTACCACACTACCACTACCGTACCTAACATGGTGATACCTAGATAAATCGCCTAACATTTTAAAATACCACAGTGTAATAGAATCCAGGGTAATCTATCGTTTTAGCGTAATCAATTCGGTCGTCACTAGTAATGTAGGGATAAGGTAACTAATAAATATGGCTTAAATATGAATATATTTTTGCATATTCTACTAAAATACTAAAGATAATTGAATATTAAACCACATTTAAGGGTTAAATCAATAAAAATGTCATGAAATTAAGGTTTAACAACGATGTTCCAGATACTAAATTTGCTATTAAAAACAGCGGCCATCTTAAGAAAATATTATTTTGAGTCATTTCCCTTTAATTTCTATTTGTATGGAAATGTATTGATGTTTGTTATTAAATACGTTTGTCTTGTGTTTAAATACAAAGCATGCGTTTTTTTTTTAAATTCTGCCCTTTAAACAATTTAATTGACTGACAATAAACATCAGTTCTAGAATTATTATTATGAGATGCAATTTTTATACATTAAGAAACTCCCTATTTTTATAGAGCTACCTCTGCCTCTACATATCTAATGTTTATTTGAATATTAGTTAATTGTTATTGTTTGTGTCATTGTTTGTTTGCAATTTTCAAGTCATATTTTCATGCTTTTTCCCCTTTAATTAGTGATTTAATCATAAATGACGTCACGTTTTTTGACCTCTCTTCACCTTAACCCCCCCCCCCCCCCTCCCTCCATTTTCGCCGTCACGAAATAGTCGTAATGTCGAAAATTACCTTTTTGCCCTGCCTGTTAAAAAGTCAAGCAATAATTCAAACGAAAAATCATTTTTTCACCATTTTTGTATTAGGCGAAATACATAACGTTTCACGTTTCTTACCCCTCCCCTTTCCCGCTATAAAACGTCGTCTCAAAACCAGTTACTCCACTCCTTAAGTGCGTGATGTCATTTATGATAGATGTCAAGTCCTAACCTCCAATACACATTTTGAACAACCTGTGTTGTCAAAATGTTGATACCAAATACCCAAAATGAGTTATATTGGGTTGTCCATAAACGATGTCACATATGCTATTCTAATGTGACGTCAAGTTACGCAGGACTGCAATTTATGACCTATAATGAAGGGGTGATCGGGGGGGGGGGGGGGGGGGGGGATGAGTGAAGTCAATTATGGAAGACTTCTATAAAGCTGTGCTCAATGAAAATGAGGAACATAAAGCGTTCGTTTTCATGCATACCTTTGCTCATAACGAATGATCATAACTATTGCAAGCCTGTTGTCCTAAGCGGTGTTAAACAACATCAGCATATCAGCCCCGCCAAAAAGGGCCTGCCACTAAAAACGCCTACCGACGAAAATAGGCCGCACTATATTGACTCCAAATGAAATAACTTCTGACAACAAGGCTCAAACCAAGTAGCTCCTGGCAACGATATTCGACAAGAGTCCAAGACAATTATTGGCTTGCAGGTAAAATTGGACAAAACAGCAAGTTTCGCGACATGGGGCATAACAAAAGATCAACCCTTAATACGACAGCAGCTAATGTAAAAAGCCAGAGCTCAGTATAGGCTTGAGTTTAATATAGAAATAGTGTTAGCAGTGGACGGTGCATTAGGAATACGGCAGTCGGCTAAACGCCAGAGTTCCAACGATGTCTGAACATCAAGTTTGTCTTTTATGAAGTGCGGAGCACCTTTAAGAGCTGAGCTTGGGGAGGGGGTCCCTTTTGACACCACCACTAGCGCCGCTTATGTCCACATATCAATCACAAGTTTTGCGTGGAGCTTACTGGGCAGACGAAGTGTATAGGTGGGACTGGGAGCCTAAATGCATATACGGAAGCCGCTGTGTCACGGGCATTTTACAGCCGAACGTCTCAGGGCAGCAGGTTGCAGAAATTAAAAGCACGTGAATTTGTATAGTAGAGGGAGCACCGCATGCCACTGTAATAAATGAAACACCCATATAATTTACCGAACTAAAGTCATTTAGATCTATTCGTCAGGCTAAAAGTCGCTAAAGTCTCAACTCCATAGTGCCTGTTTTGATTTTTTAATTACGCGATATCTCTTTCTTTAACATTAGCCTAATGACAAACGACGTCACGCGCGCCGAGAACTTGGTGACGTTGTGCTAAGTGGGGGATTAAACGGCGGGGTTGAGAAAAATGACGTATTTCTTTTTTTTAACAGACGAATAAGTGATAGATTCTAATTCTCCTACGAACTATAGGTTGATCTAGTTTTTTTTTTACTAGAGGGAGATATCACTATAATTATAGTGGGTGTTTTTTGTTTTTGTAATAATTGATGGTGGGGAGGGGTAAACATCGACTATTGAACAAATCAAAAACTGATGAAAGCAGAAGGCAAAGAAAAAAACATGTGGTATTCAAATGTAACTAATTAAAATTTAATACTATTTTTATAAACACAATAATCTTAATTCAGAAAAAGTGTAGGCTTAAGACTAATGTCTACAGACAAAATAAACAACTAGGCTTAAATGGATCACCCATAAACAGTGCCGGCGCCAGGTTATTTAGCGCCCTAGGCAAAACTTATTAAAAGCACCCCCCCCCCGGAATTTTTTCATGCCCCCCCCCCGTATTATCAGAGGCGTAGGGACCCTTCCAGGCGCCCGGGGACAAGCTTACGATTTGCACCCCCCCCCTCAAACTTTCAATTTGTTTTTCCAACCCATTTTGGCGCCCCCCCCCCCCCACATACGGACAGCGCCCTAGGCCGCTAGGCGACAGCCTAGTTCGCCTTATAGGTAGCGCCGACCCTGTCCATAAATGACATCATACTTTTCCCGACGAATTCCCTTTCCCCCAATCGTCACTAAAAGCAAGATGATGATTTAATATCATATCGCAGTTCTACTATACCCGAATGCGTAATCACAATTTCTAACGAAAACGAATATATTGTTGATCATTTTTTTAAATATATTTTAGTCCAACGTCATTTATGAAGAATATGGATGACCTAATAATTGACAAGTTCATCAGTACAAAAGGGTTTGATAAATGTTGGACCTCCCAAAAGTTTTTGAGATCTTGTATGTACATACATACATACAAGATACATAGCCTTCATTTCAATTGAAATTAAAGATAAGAAGATGGCCATATGTACTACTTACATTAAACAAGAAAGCTATGTACATTTAACAACAAAGTCAACACAATATACATACGAATAGACATTTGTATCAAGGGAAACTACTCTAAATTTTATTTGGAAAGATGGCCGCTGTTTTTTTCTACTAATATTTATCTCAAACACCTAGTTTAAAGTTAGTTTCATGATGTTTTAAATTCTTTTGGTCACTGATTGTTATTTTAAATCAATTATCTGTTATATTTTGTAAAATTTGACTTAAATAAACTTATTTAAACAAATATATTCATCAGTTACCTCTCCCGCACATTTCTACTGCAGCCGAATTGATTACGCTAAAACGATAGATTACCGAATCCAGAGCAGGTACTACGAGATGTATTGTCAATCCAGTTTGATGTAGGTATGGAGGGGGACAGGATGTGGTGCGCAATGAATTTCCAATGCACCTGTACATGATTTCATTGTTTCATTAAATACTTAAATATTTGCTCGTTTATAATTTATATTTCAACAACACACAGGAAATGACTGCATGGAATAAATTTACAACCTCACAGCAAAAAAGAGTCTTGAGCTAATAAATTATCTTGATGTGAGATAAGGGGGCGCTACCCAGGATGTGGTTGTGTTTGACCTAAGTCTATTTATTCTACATTAGGTTATGCCCGCTCTATCTAATGTTATTGAAACACCACTCCCATTTTCCATAATGCTATTTACTATTTAAGATAATTCTAGGAAAATATGTAGGCCTATGTCCGTGTTTTTTTCCCCTAAGTTTAATAATTTTTGTTTATTTTCAAAAGCATATTTCTGAAGTAAGGGAGATAACCAAACTATCTTATTTAAAATTTTTATTTAACACCTTCCGACACGACCTCAGGATTTTTTACCAAAAAATTATATCATGTATGGAAAATGCTGTAGTGGGGGTCTTGACAAAGTATACCAAATTTCATCTCCATCCGATAGGTATTATGCAAATTATGACAAAAATGTACGTGTCACAATAGTAAAGTAAAATGTCAGCAACAACTTATCCATAACAAGATCTTATACATTGCATTAGACATACACAAGTAAATGAGGAATGTTATTATTGTTATTCGAAGAATTGTATTTAAAAAAAAAAAATTGTTATTCGAAGAATTTGCAATTAATTCATAAGCGATCTAAAAAAAAAACTAAGTAAATGTAAATAATTGTTTTAAATTTTCAAATTTGAAAAATCTAAAGAAATAAAAAAACGAAACTTCGTGCTTAAATTGTATGGTCAAAACACATGTGTACAAAAAATGACTACCGTGTTGGAAGGAGTTAAAAAATGTGTACTAGTTATATAATCTGATTCTTGTTGAGAGTTGACTGACTTATTCAGGAAACGAGATTGGAAAACAACAATTTCAAACGGACTGCTGCCAGACATTTGAATACAATTGTCTGAAAGGGGTTTAAGGTTAAGGTCAATCCTGGTCAATCTTGGTAACGGTCAATCTTGGTAACGGTCAATCTTGGTAACGGTCAATCTTGGTAACGGTCAATCTTGGTAAAGGTCAATCTTGGCTACGGTCAATCTTGGCTACGGTCAATCTTGGTAACGGTCAATCTTGGTTATGGTCAATCTTTGTAACGGTCAATCTTTGTAACGGTCAATCTTGGTAATGGTCAATCTTGGTAATGGTCAATCTTGGTAACGGTCAATCTTGGTAACGGTCAATCTTGGTAACGGTCAATCTTGGTAACGGTCAATCTTGGTAACGGTCAATCTTGGAAATGGATGTTTCGGGTTACAAACGTTTGACCGACCAAATAAGACTCTAGTTACGAACTGCGATTCATAATACGAGCCAATTTTTTTCACTTAAAACTAGACTACCTACCTCTATCTACTATTGCATAGTTGTCCTTACAGATGGTATATAAAAACAAAGAATGGTCAAAACATTACAGGCTATAAATATAATAAAGAGTTCGAATAGAAAAGCAACCAAGTGTTTGACCTTTTCTCTTCACTGACCACTTAAACCGTATCCCCAATTACCAAACTATCTTGTCGATTCTAGCATGGTTCCTTCCATTATGTCAGATTATTGCCCTTAGTAGTATTATAATAGCTGTAATGCAGTGGCGTCGATAGGTCGGTTGTCACCCGGTGCGGTACCTAATAGTGTCACCCCTTGATTTGCACTTAATAAGACTTTTTAACTCTAATTAATCAAACTGAAAAAAAGCATTTTTCTATTGTACATTTTTCCATTTTTTTTGTCTTGGTGTCACCCC